AAAAAAAAAAAAAAAAAAATGTAGCTTCTAATATTTAATCACATGAAGATGATTCTACAAAACATATTTGTTACAGAAATTCTGTTTAGCCTCTGTCAACTTATTATTTTCCAGAGTAAATAATTGGATCATATATTTGTAAAAGAATTTTATTCGAGAAAGGAGGTGGTAGCTTCACTCTCAACACTTGGCACGTCCTACCCACAGTGGAAGGTGAGGTACCCGCACGTGGGCACGCGGTGGCAGGCTAGGGACACGTGCTCTTGAGAGCAAGGACACCTTCTCACGACAGATGGCTTTTAACAGGCTTCACAAATACCTACTTGGGAATTTCCATGTAGTAGGAAGTTGACCATTGCTTCTCAGCTTCACCATTCTGTTCTGACAGGGCATGTGAGGATTTTCTCCCTTTGTAAAGCTTTAGAATCTCTTTCTCATGGCAAAAATAGCTGTTTTATAGTTAAGGTTGAATAGTCAACCGATAGGTCTATAGAGCAAAGACAGACCTCATTTTCATTTGCATCTTAGCTCTCCATAAAGCAGAGTTTGCGCATCTAGGGCATGAGGAACAAGGAACACAGGGAGCAGGGGCCATCTGCCACTCACTCACTGTGTGACCTGGGCCTCAGTTTCCTCATGGGTGTCACAGAGTCATTGAGATGTAAAGTGCCTGTAACCTTGTAAGCCCTCAATAAACATAGTGAAAACTGATCAAAAACAGAACTTTATTCTTTTTTAAATGGGAGCATAATAACCAAAACAAAAGGAGAATTCAAAATTGATTATTGGCAAAGACTTGAAAAAAATATTTTCTCTGAAACAGATAATGGTCATATTGTCTGCACAGCGCCCGGTAGTTTATAAGGGACTCGGACCTACACAGGCTCATGTGATCCTTTTACCTTCCCTGAGAGGTGGGAAAGGCAGGTACTGAGAGCTCTGCTTCACAGATGGGGGGAAGAAGGGTCCGTTCACTGGGGACGCTGCTGGACAGACAGCAAGTGGCAGAGGCAAGGCCAGATGTCATGGTCCACGTGCACGGATTTCAGCGTAACGAATATGCCGTCAGAGGTCAGCTGTAAGACAGGCCCATCGAAGACACTCTTACCCGTCCAGTTCCGCCGTTTCCACGTAGCAGAGGCTGTTAGGTTCAGAGCTGGACAGCAGCAGGATGTCGGCCTGTTCAAAACAAAACACGTCAGTAACAGAGAGACGCCCCCACCCCCACCAGCAAGAAACCGGGTGTGGGGTCTGGGGTAGAGGTTAGAGCAAGGAATGAGAGAAGCAGAGCTCGTTCACTTACTGGAATGAAATCATTTTTTTTCAGACGAATGACATCTCCAACTTGAATATCTTTCCACTTGGCAATTTTAAATCTAAGGATTGAAAATAATAGTTTATTGATTTTTTTTTTCTTTTTTAAGTTATAGGCAAGAGAATTATTATTCTTTCTGGAAAATGTATAAATCACAGGGAAAACATTTGCTAAAAAGTTCACCCTTTTAATGATGTAAGCGCATGAAGTGGGCATGGGAATCATATCATCCTCTGAGGGAAGTGATGATCGTGGCAACAACTTTGATGTGTTCTTTCCATCTACTTCACGTCCCCCACTTAATGGGGGACACTGAAGTATGCAGCAGGGAGACACTTCCCACCCCCTTTTGTTTTTGGTGTCCGGCTCCCCTCCCTGCCGTCTTCCTCCTTGGTTACCACTTACTCAGCGTTGGTCCCAGGAT